AAAACAAGAAATTCCGATGAAAAACCAAAACGTAAAAAAAACAAAAAAAAAGTTTAAAAAGCCGAAAACGCGTGCAGAAAAAAAAATCCGGAGGGAGCGCCCAAAGCGCGACACGTGACGAATGGCTGAGAGCGCGTCAAGTAATGCTGATCGTTGCGAGGCTCCCGGAAAAACGCTCGTTAACTTTTTTTTTTTGAGACGAGAGCGCTCGCTAACTAGTTGTTCTCGCCTGTGCCAATTCCAATTAGAATCACCGACCCGCGAGCGAACCAGGCTGGCCCATCAGCGCAGGTGCTGGCGCCGCTCGTGCGAAGATGTAGGCTCGCTGCTCTGCTCCGTTTTTTCTTTTTCGTCCCTTTGGGATTTCTATGTTTTTCATTGGTTTTCGTCGAATGTTCCTTTTTCCTTCGTTATATTCTGTTTCTTTCACTAGTTTTCTTTGAACTTTCTTCTTTGTTATGCTTTTTTTATTTCCTTTTTTCTTGAATTTTTTTGTATTGTTCGGTTTTTTATTTTATTTTTGTTTCTTTATCAGGTTTTTTTAACATATATATACATTTTCTCAGTACACCTTTATAGTTTTAGCGCATACATAAAAATTTGATAGGCTTTGGACATTTTTCAAATACATTATGTACTCCGAAACAACACGTGTTATGAAGACCTTTTTGAATACACCGAACATTTTCCCAAAACACATTGTATATTTTCTTGTTGACAATAAACATTTTCTAAAACTATAAAACATTTTTTCACATTGTTTAAATATTTTTAAAATTCCACAGACATTTCTTGGACACACATGAATATATCTTTAAAATGTCACATATTTTTTTAACGGAAGTAAACATTTAATTAACCGACGGGGGGAATTCTTTACAGTGTATAAACATTTTTAAATGTCATGAACATTTTTTGAATCACTTTTTTTTTCTTTAAAATGTCACATACATTTTTCTAATGGCACGAATCAGTTTTTACATTATGCGGACGTTTTTACATACTTTATACACTTTTTTTAAGAAAAAATCCATGACACATTTTTATGCTGGTGATGCTCTAAATCGGCGGTTCATCGAGGAGGAGGCGCGCCGCGAGTTTTGAGGTCTTTCCCTGCGGCCCCCACGGGGATTTCGGCCCCGACATGTTCTTCGCCCCCGATTGCTTCATGCCGCCATCGCATGCGCCCATGCCGATGCACCCGTTCCCGCACGCGCCGCCGCCGGTGCCTTTCGAGGAGTTCGGGGCCTGGCAGGGGTTTGGGCGTCGCCGGAGCACGGGGTTTGGGGGAAAGGATACCGGTCCTCTGTGACTCTGAGGATAGGAGGTTGTCTCCGCCGCGGCCAAATCTGGAGCACAAGCTCAAGCTGCCGGGAGACCCGAGGTATGTGGGCATAAGTCTTCTTCCTTTTCAAGATCCGGCATGTACCTTCTGTATCTCTGTCGTGTCATTTCAGAGTCACTAACGCTATCTGTTCTGAAGTTATTTTCCAGATCGCTTAGTTGTACGCGGGCGGCGCTCACGATTTCTTGGTCTCCGGCGCCGGCGCCGGCTCTTGGTCGTCGGCAGCTGCGGCGTGAGCTCTTGTTCCTCCTCAGCAGTGCGGCCGGATTGTACCTTTGAGATGGCACGGTGAGGTCCTACATCGCTGCCCAGCCGAGAAACTAAAATCACAAAATATTGTCCTGCATGTTGTGTGAAAGAAAAACAGTTCTGATCCTCTATTTGGAAGGTTGAAGCCCTTTGTTTTATGGGAAGCAACAACGAACGATTTGTACATCTCTGCTGTAAATTAATTGATTATAATGTGGTACCATACTGTTATATACTGCATGGTGTTCACAGGGAGTACAAGATAAATTTATATCTCACATCTGCATGAAATTGCCCATCTCCCTTGGTTGCCTGATGGTGTCACTTTTTGCTTGACAGATTCAGGCTGCTTACAGCTATCGAAGAGCTGTGTTAGATATGTGATGAAATGGTGCTGCACAGGATGTCGATTCTAATAACAGAAGCTAAGCAAGCCAATTCAGCATCATCATCATCATATGGCTGCATGTGTATATCTTGTCAAGACATGCCATCTCAGCAAACAAGTGCAGACTCAACCCTCTTCTGAACATATCATCAGTTAGTGCTCTCCCTGTGAACACCTCCAGGCTCCAGCAGAGTGATCCTAAAGCTGCAAGCATCACCTGCAGTTGATACAGAAAGGGTGAAAAATCATAACGACATTTAGAAGCTCAGTAGGTTCCCTTGAAACTGAATTCCTATCCAAATTAATTGACGCATCCTTAGTACAACTTTAGCACAAAGTTGTACTAAGTGTGCGTCAATTAATATAGATCAGAGGGAGTAGTATTTTTTGTGTCTAGCAATGTTATGTTTGTCAACACGTGCATTGCACGTGCAAAATTACTAGTATTTTTAGATTAGAGAATGCAATGCATACATGTTTGTTCCATGCCAGAAAGATATCTTAGGCTTTACGGGCTTGGAATAGACCTTCATCGCCCGGCTAGGCGAGGGGAGGCCTCCTTTCACTTCACCCTGTTTTGCCTAAAAAATAACTTCACCCTGTTCGGTTCCTCCACTGCAACGACAGAGAAAGAAGCGGCGCCGGCGACCTGAGGCGCCTGTCCCCGGCGGCGGCCACCGACCGATTGATTGCTCCGCCTCCCAATTTCACAGGTGTGAGCTCTTCTCCTTCTCTTCCCCTTCCAATTTAATTTCCCCTCTCTTCTTTGTCGCGGGATTAAACCCTAATTAGGAGCTGCCTACATCCACTTGTTCAGGCGGAGCTCAGCTCATGGGACCGCGAATCCTATAGACGATGGATGCTGCCAAGAGATTCTCCAGTGGTAAGACCGTCCAATCTCTCTATCTCTTTCAACAATAATGAAAAGTATGTCCATCCGGGATATGAATATGAATTCATCTTAACGTGTAGTGCTGTACCTTAAGTTCCCATAATGCTTTAGCTTTTGGGACACAGAAAAAAAAAACTATATCCCTGCACTAACATCAGAATTTTGCACTAGCTACTTGCCTTGTTAGTCCATTTGGTACTTTGTAAATAATGTCATGCCCACCCAATTCAGATGGACACACTTGTAAAATGTTAATAATAAGAAACACAACACAGGATGCTACATCCCAGACTTTATTTTGCTCATTGTCATCCCAAGGCTTGCGCGAACAAGTAGCTTGGTCCTCCTGCCTATATTGTGCCGGCACCAACCTGCCTGTAGGTGTTGGTGCTGAGGCTGAATGAAAACAAGGGATTCAGAGTCCCAGGTGTTGCCGTTCGCTGCGGGAAAGGTAAGTGAATCGAAAATTCAGCACATGAATGGAAGCTTCAGATAAGGAATGCACCAATGGCATCAGTAATAGAAAGGACCTGCACACGGAGGTGTCTTCTTTGGAAATGCCTTGGGAGATCACTTGGCCAGCATTGCCAAGCAACAAGGTGGACTTCTGTTATTTCCGTTGCTAGCTGCTGCAAATAGTCTCATCACCGCCACCTGCAGAAATCAACAGATCATAAGTCTCTTTTTGCAAACACAACATCCATATATGGATAAATACTTGTGACCAGCTAGAGTTGTACACTTCACATGGACTAGCAGTGTAAATTAAGTACAAGCATGTATCACGATGGTTAATCAGGCGAAAATGCTCGTAAAATGGGCGAGGACACAAGACAAGTAGACATATAGGCTTCAGGCCACTGACCATACCATGGACACACGATTCAGTACATGAATGCTCTAGGCCCATGTACAGGAAACATTATGTAAAGTCTGACGAACATATAGGTTATATAATGGTTGAAAGAAACGATTTAGGAAGGCTCAAATGGTGATTGAAATGAGTTTGTGTCGATACTCACTTTTTTGAAGCTGTGGCCAAATCGAAAATCCTCTTTGGCTTGAATTTTGGAGGATTTTTCCTTCTTTGCAAATAGAACGCTTTTTCATTTTACTACAAAATGACTGAGTCAACACCACACTTTACCCTCTATGAACACATGGTTGGTCCCTCCTCCTTTTTCCGGGCTTGGGACCGGCTATGCAATTATAAGTGTTATCTTAAAATGGCATAGGCGGAGTTCCACCCCCCATCCCCGACCCACATAAACACACAAAAAAAGAGAAGAGTATGTAAGAAAAAAATAGCTAACGCCTGCAGCCCCATCCTCCACCCCAAAAAAGGAGAAATAAAACAAAGTCAAACACACATTTTTTTGTCTGGGACTAAAGGCTTTGTTGTACACTTTTTTTTTGTTTATCAAAGACTAAGAAAAGGCAATGCATTATACGAACGCTTCTTTTTCCATTTTACAACTTTTCTTGGATTTTCAAACACATTGATTCAAGGAACAAACCACTAACGCTACAATGCAAGAAAATGACTTTTTTTAATTTCTTCTGTATTGCTGAAAAAACAAATAACCATTTGTTTGCCTCTCTTCCGTAGATGAATTAAGCCCATCAGTACTTCCTTTCAACTGGTAACAAGATTGTAGAAGGCATCAAAGTACCACCATCCTGTAAATAAAAGGCCTGAAAAAAATATTAAGACTGGTTTAGTAAATAGCTAAGCAAGACATATGCATCACTATGAGTGTATATGAACCATGAGCCCTTTAGATGGATATTTTTTGGAAACCAATGGAATATAGGTTTCAGTTCGATGCAGTACGGATCTTAAATTGGGAATTGTAAAACTATAGAGGATTAAAAACAATCTGGCATTAATAGTTTGGTTTTGTTAAACGTAACAAGAATAATGAAGTGGCAGTCTCGTCATGCAAAAGATACTGGAATATTGTGCATGTGGGTTGAAACGGAAAAGAGAAACTGATGTGTATACATATGCATAGTTAAACTTAATGGCAGGCACAATCAAGGAACCGTGGATGCACTTGCCTGTTTGGCCTCAATGCCATATTCCATTATTGCGATGGAGTTTGGATGTGCTTCTATAGCTTGTTTCACCTGATTTGGTAGCCTGACCGCACCACTGAACACCATTTCTTCAACTTGGGAAGGTTGTTGATTCCTGAGAGAGACTCTATCACATCGATGAGCCAGACGATCTTTTCAAGCTTAGGAACTTCTCCTTGTTCGAAGTTGATGTCTGTGATGCCACCCCCCTCAATAGTAAGATATTTGAGATTTTGGAACCCATTGGTCTGGATTATAAGCTTGCCCTCAGTGTGTAAATTAATGTGCCGGAGCCTGAGGCCGCGTAGGTTGGGCAAATGTGCGAGGGATTCCATATCATCCTGGTCCAAGAAGGTGTTATGAAGAGTTACCTTGGCAAGTTTGTGGCAGCCTCTGGTGAACAATGGGTGAAGACGCCCATACTTTGTGACTCCACTGATGCTCAGGCTTTCAAGAAGCTTGGGTGTGTTCTTACAGTGTGCGCTCATAGCATTGGTTGCAGGTACGTCAGGAGGAGTAGCACCCTGGCTGGCAGGCGGAGGCCTGATCTCGATGGACAATGACTTAAGGCACTCATTCAGATTGCTGATCCCTTGGAGTAAGTTCTCAAGTTGAGGTTTCCAATCATAAATGACCACACCAAGCACCCTCAGCTGCCATAGCTGGCCAATCTCTCTCAGCTCTGTAGCATGATGTTTTGAAGCCTCTACATGGGACAGCACTTCCAGGTCTGTCATTTTTCTGACCTTGTGAGGCATCTGGACAGTGGAAAGTATGCTAGCATCATCAGTGTGACCAGCCAGCAGACGCTTCAGCTTCAGCAGCATGAGGTGTTTTATGGCGGAGGCATTTATTGGAGTGTCCCGGATGTCCAACACCTCCAGCTGCTGGAGCATGTTGATCTCCTTGGGCAGCTGAGTGACATCTGTGTTCCTTAGGCTCAGATACTTGAGCAGTATTAACGAGGTGCAGATGTTCTTGAGCCAGCGTTGGTTATCTCCCAGGGATGCACATCCTTCCAGATCCAGGACCTTGACGAGCTTCAACTGAGATGATGCACGGGATGGTTGCTTCAAGAAGTCGAGGATGCTATCTGAGGGACGGAGCCTGATGTTGCTGAGAATGGAGAAGTGGCGAGCCAGGTGCCGAGACAGGCGTGTGTCCAGAATGTGTACTTTCCTGGCCATCATGGTGATGAAGTTGTACACTTGTTGATGCACTGTAATGCTCTTGACCTTCCCTGCAGCACCAACATCACAAGGACAAACAAGCCATAGATCGGCAAGTACCTCCAAACAATGCTCAGCCTGGCTTACTGAACTGGACCAGTCTTGTCTAGTTATCAGTCCTTCCGCAACCCACCGCCCAATTAACCTTGTACGGTTTATCTTCTCACCTTCATGGAAGATGGCTAGATATAGCAAACATGTCTTGTATTCCCTAGGCAGATCGCTGTAGGAGAACTTGATCATCTTGTAGCCATTCGTACTAGTTTTCGCAGAACCTCCAAACACGAGGCTGTTGCTCAGCTTGCCCAGTTCTTCTCTGCTCCTCATTGGATTGGCAAATAGAGCATGGATGAACATATTCAGGCTGAACTCATCCACCCTACATTTCTCCAAGATCTCATGGAAGATTTCAGCACTGTACTTCTCGTCGTCATTCACACGCCGATTTGTAAGTTGGAGCGCTGTTTTGTGGTAGTATTCAATAGAAGAGTACACGATGGGTTCCGTCCCATAGCAGAAGTCCTTGGAGCCCTGCATGTATTTTGTGGTAACTATCACTGCCATTGAACTGCAACCCAAATTTTGCAAGGCCTCTGCGGTCTCATCCCATTTGTAGCCAGAGGCATCGTGGAGAATGACCAGCGTCCTTGTATCCTTCAGATACTCTCTAACCCTCCCCACGGTTTCTTGAATCAACAGATGCTCTTTGATCTTCTCTAGGACTTGTTCAATCCTCTTCCTGCAGTCCTCCTCGCCCCATGGCAGCGACAGGTGGTCTTGGCCTGATTCTTCCACTGATTTATCTTGCTGGTGAAGTGACACTGGCAGGAGCTCCGGCGTGATATGCACTTGAATTTTCAGCGTGATGTCTTTAATATTCTTCACGATATAATCCTCGCCAGCCAGTTTATTTGTGGCTGCCTTTGCCAGTGTGGTGGCCTGATTCGGAAGCAGCTCCTGCAGGATGGCTATGTATTGGGAATGCTCAACGCCGATCCTGCAGGAATCCATTGCACCCCCTGATTCAAGATAGTTTTTCATCTTATCCGCTGTCTCGTTAAGGATCTGTTCCTCGGTTTGATTTGGATCCTCACCAGCAGTGGCGTCCTGGAGCAGCACCCGCAAGATGCCACAGAGTACTCCTAAGGGTTCAACCCGGTAACCTTTATTACCAGCTTTTTCCAGGTACTCTTCGATCTTCTCCTCGATCTTCCCAATCTTCTCGTTGACTTCTTCCTCGCCAAATTCTTCCACCGATTCGTCGGCTTCCCCTTCCAGCTCCTTCAGGATGTCACCAAGAAAATCCCAGGGTTCTTGCAGGCAAGTGTAAGACGCCTTCTCCCCCGCAGTAGGTGTTGCTGCTTCAAAAATAAACATCTTCTCGTTTAAAAAGAAGATGTGGTCGAACTTTTCCTTGATGGAATTATGAAGCAATGCTTGATTAATAATATCCCTTCCATCCTCTTCATCTGGTGCTGCAATGGCGATGGCTTTGAATGGGTCACCCATGTGTTGGTGTTTGAGCCAGTGCATTAGCTCTTTGGTGCACTTGAAAACAATGCGAGGCTCGGAAAAGGCTTGCTCCCTTCGTGGATCATCACTTGTCGCCCAGTAGTAGTCTTCTTCCAAGTCATAGTCTCCTTCAGCTACAATCCCCGCAGCAGCAGCTTGAAATGACGGTGATGACTCCGCCGCTGCCTCCGGCAGCACCAGCTTATCGGAGTCTGCCTTGGCCGGGCCCTCAACACCGTACCTCAGCCTCCGCTCGCCAACGTCACGCGCCCGGGCCTTGAGGTCTCTCAGCTGGGTGGCTGCAAGGTGCTGAGCGACTGTCTTCTTGATGAACCAAGGCACCCACCACACGTAGCCCAGCAGGATTCCTCTGGCGCGATAGACTGCCGGATCACCGCGCTGTAGGTAGACGTCGATGCAGTTGCTGCAGTCGTGAGCAAGGTCACGGACCTGCTTCATCCACGTGCGGACCTGCACATCGTGCTCTCCGTTGCGGGGTGTCTTCCTGGCGAGGTGCAGGAGGAAGCTGTTCATGCTCTCCATCTCCTCTTTTATGAACTGCACATCACCACCGACACCCCCCAGCAGCTTAGCCTCGTCGCGGATGACGCCCAACAGCGAGCGGACAGCAACCCCGGCGAGCTCAGCCATGGCTGGAACTCGATCGGTCTCCACTGGTGTGGCGCTGGTTTAGCTTAGCATGCGAATGAGCGTGCGTGTATGTGAATTCTGACCTTGTGGGTATCGTACCTAGCCTGATACAGGCGATGAGACACAATAGGAATTTTATGATGTGGTGGACAAACAATGGAGTATCTATCTATACCAGTCTATTTTCTACAGCAACATCTAGAAGATGACAACGGATGGTCGAGACCTCATATAGTTTTAATCAAGTCAAGTCAATTTAATTAGCATAGTCTTCGGGGTGGTAGTGCAGCACATGCTTGCATGCGAGGAGCTGTTGCATGTGCTTGATCGGTGCCATTTGATTGCAATTGGTGGAGCCATATGATATGTACGTTCCTACTTTGGATATATATAACCCCTGATCCTTAATTTGTGTGAGGTCGTGTATTGCGTGCATGCATTTCAATCAAGCCTTCGTGTCATTTTGGTAATTATCGGCCTTTGTGTTGATGAATCAAATTACTTCTTATATTTGGTAATTATCGGCCTTTTGCAAAATTACTTCTGTTTATATAAAATGCACAGCTAGTGAAATGGTAATTTACTCGCTGCAAAGAATTGTGCTTACTACGAAATAGGGTGCATTATCTAAAAGAATGCTAAAACTAGCTAGTTTTTGAAGGACGACTTTCAGGGCTCATATAATTGGCGGGATACATCACCTTTTTAAAATGCTCATGTCTGATGCCAACCCTGCTTTTTTTAAGGGAGTACCTAGAACTCATCTAGATGAGATATAATTTGGTCTCATTCACTTTGAAAACAAGAATAGATACAACCCACGTCAGCACACACGCATCTTATAGCATCACATCCAATGGCTATAAAAAGTGAATGAGACCAAATTATATCTCATCTAGATGAGTTCTAGCAAAACTGTTTTTTTAAACCTGAAAAATCTTTACAGTTTTTTTTTTGCTTAGTCCATCCACCTATACAGTTAATCTTGTTGATCAGGAGTTGCACATTGTGTATTAATTAGTGTCGATTTAAGAGGGGCCAGATGGCACATCACATGGGAGGAAATACGCTGGCCGAGGAGCTACCGTAGTGAATAATATCAACTTGATCTATATACTGCTTATGATTGACCTACCTACTGCTTAGAGTTGACATTCGGTGGAAGATATGATCTGCTTAGAGTTGACATTCGGTGGAAGATATGATTAACGGAGCTGGATTCGTTCTTTATTCTAGTGGTCACAGAGCAATTTTGTACGCAAGAGTGATTAAGTCATTATTTCTTGAAGAAATTATGATGGCTACTAAAGGGTATAACACAACTAGTGGTGTTAGCATTCTTTTAGGCAATGCACCCTATTTCAAAATCGTAAACCTTGGTCAGACCTCGATCCACCAATTGAGTGATATTCTAGGCATCTCAAGTCATCAAGTCATCTTAGTTTTAATCCATTCTGACCTAATTGTATACATTTGTGTTCAAAGACTTCTTGTGCACACAAACTGTACCACAGAATTTTCTTGTCCCGTAAATTTACAGGTCAAATTCTACGTACTTCACATGGACGGCTTTGGGTTCCCCTGGGGAAAACCAAGGACAAAGCAGCGTCGGTGGAAGCGTTAAGGGAGCTTAAAGATATTCATGCCGACGGTTGATACTGCTAATTAGGCTCCGGTATGTGGTTGCGCAAGTCCGCGTGCTCGTCGTTTGACCATGTGTCGTGAACTGCTATGCCCATCATTGCTCTCTTTTGTACTCCCTCCGTTTTTATTTACTCCGCATATTAGCTTTGGTCAAAGTCAAGCTTTATAAACTTTGACAAAATTTATAGACAAAAATATTAACATGTATAATAACAAAACATTATCATTAGATTCATTATTGAATGTACTTTCGCATCATATAGATTTGTTATGGTAAATATTTATATTCTTTTCTATAAACTTGATCAAAGTTTATGAAGTTGACTTCAGTCAACTCTAATATGCAGGGTAATAAAAACGGAGGGAGTACTAGTATTTTACTAGGTTACATGTGAGACTATGTTTGACCCAGCCATTCGGGGCTTTATTTTATAAGGCCGGGTGCCCCTTCCCTTACTGACAAGCTCTATAGGAATCATCGCTAAAAAGGGAATCAGTTACATGGAAACGCACCTAACTGGAACCTCAAATTTGTACATATGCTGAGTTTTTTTAAAGCAATAGTTCTTGCTAGTCATTTTGGACAATATGCTGAGTTGATTCGTGAGAACATTTCATTTCTATTACAGAGATCTCTTTTCCTACTGGTGGGGAAAACAAATGTGAGGTCATTTTTCTTTTTTAGATACAACCATTGTTGCAATTTACAGCATAAAAAACTATAGGTCTAGTTTGTTATGGTTTGTATTTGAATAAAACGATGCATCCAATTCATCCCTCAAGTCTATATCTCACCCGTATCGACTCCAACTAGAATCACCAACGCGCGAGCGAACCGGGCCAGCCCATCAGGGCTGTTGCTCGTGCCGCTCGAGCGAAGATGTAGGCTCGCTCGCTCTGCTCCGGTTTTTTTTGTTTTTCCCTTTGTTTTTCTATGTTTTTTCATCGGTTTTTGTTGATTTTTCTTGTCTCCTTCGTTATAGCTCGTTTTTTTCACTAATTTTCTTTGAACTTTTTCTTTGTTATGCTTTTGGTTTTACTTTGTTTTTTTCTTGAATTCTTTTGTATTATTCGGTTTTTATTTTATTTTTCTTTATTTACCATTTTTTAACACATATCCATTTTTCCTATTTTTCTTTATTTACCATTTTTTAACACATATCCATTTTTTCTCAGTACACAATGTACAGTTTTAGCGCACATATAAAAGATTGATACACTTTGGACATTTTTCAAATACGTTATGTATAGAAGAATATGTGTTATGAAGACCTTTTTTAATACACAGTAACATTTTCCAAAAACACATTGTATATTTTCTTATTGACAATAACCATTTTTAAAAAGTACACAAACATTTTTTCACATTGTTGAAATATTTTGATAACTTTCACAGACATTTTTGGGACACATGTGAATATTTTTTTAAAATGTCACATAAATTAATCTAACGGAAATAAACATTTAGTTAAACTATGGGTTAATTTTTACAATTTATGAACATTTTTAAAATGCGGTGAACTTTTTTAATCACGGTATTTTTTCTTTAAAATTTCACATACATTTTTCTAGTGGCGCAGACTATGTTTTAAATTATGCAAACATTTTTTTGACACTTTCACTATTTTTGAAATGTCCCCAACAAATCCTATATCCTACATACCTAAGAGATCCATCCACACTAACCTATTTATCTAAATATGCAGCCTATCCAAGTTAGCATCAATCCACCTCATCAATTCTCCACTCACATATTATGTTTGCAGCAGTCAACCAACGACTCCTTTCTTACTCTTCTTTAGTTTCTCTTCTTTATGGCTTTCAACGAAACGACAGAAGTGAGGAAGACTATCCAGTTCCCTACCTCTTCATTTTTCCTCCTTCCACTCACTAAAGGTTTGGATATCGATCCAGTTCCCTGCCCACGGGGCCTCCTTTATTTAACACACAACACACAACACACTTCATAAGGCACCACCGCCGTCGACGACTGTCGCCGCAATAGACCTGCGCGCTGACGCTGTCGCAAAGCCTCGTGATTGCCTCCAGCGGGGGCTATGCTGGCTCTGTTGGAATTATGTGTCCTGCAACTATATTCAAATTACTTGGAATTGTTAAATATTTGAAATACCTCATTATGAAATTATACATGTATTTGTACATGGAATTGTTTTACATGTTTAGCATGAAAAATTATCACTTGTTGGAATGTACTTAAGTAACATATGCTTAAGGAAGCTGGTCGATTATCAGTGGAATACAATATACTATTTATATTGGAAAGACTACCCGGGTACATTGATGATTGGAAGGAGCTAGATCGTATAGTTAGATTACAGCTCTAATGTTGATCTACATAATTAGAGGAATTTACACTATTATGGCGCGTTGCTCACAAGCGCGTGCTCCGGGGACAAAACGGGTAGAATCCGTTAAACAGACAAATATGATCGTGGTTGATAATTTGATCTGGACTCTATCCCGAAAACTAGTGGAAAAGACTAGGAATCTTATATCTGTATAAAAGGTGGACTCTTTGAAAAAACAATATAAGAAGGTCCCTACCCCATAGTCTCAGATATTCGAATTGTGAGCGGCACCATGGATAAGCGCAGAGAAATTAGGGGGTAGACCGCAAACCCTAAATTTCTAACAGGCCCAAGCCATACGCACACACGTCGACCTGGCCTCTCGGTGAACCATCTCTGCCACTCCGCGTCCTCCTTTGACCTCACATGCGCCACGGTGGGAGCTCTCCTTCCTCTGTTCGAGCCGGAGTAGCTGGGAAGGGCCACCGGCCCCTAAGCGTAGTTTGGCGGCGCTGATGGAGCCATGCCGGTGCGGAGCGTGGGCAATCTCAATCGAAGTAGCGCCTTTGCTGGCAAGGTAGAGGAGCAGGAAGATTAGGTCCCTCTGGTCGTTTATGTCATTTAGTTATCTGTTCAGATCTCCACGTCTGCGTTTTTTTGCACCTCAGCGTTGTTCCCCTGGAGATACATGTGTTCTTCTTCAGTTGAAGACATGCATCTGTGTTGTTATGTGTTACTGTATGCACGTTCTTTTTTCTCCTTCTGGCGTTGGTATGAGGCTCGTGGTCATGTAGAAATTCTATGATGTATGGATGCGTTGCTGAGATATTTATATATATCTCGTGCTTTCGCCTTTGAAAGACAGATTTTTTTTTTTGAGGGTCAACCAAACTTTATTCAAGCAAATTCCACAGAGAGTGGGATACAAGTTTGGTTATATATATGGTTGGATGAGCCACAGATGGCGACCCTTTTCTAGGCAAAGTGAAAACTTAGCTAATCTATGAGCATCTATGTTAGCCGACCGGCCTTCGAATACAAAATTAC